GTTTTGTAAGGCTTCCTTAAGAAATTAAAGTATTAGGCACACATGGGAAGTTCTAAGATAACAGCTGTGAATGGATAAGTTGATTTACACACATTCAAAATGCCAGTCTTCCCATACTAGCATAGCCCCTCTAAATACAAAAATTCAGCCATTCCACACGCATGTCAGTTCCTGCCCCCACTTTACTTCTCAGTCCAGTTTTTGTGAAGTGAAGCCTTACTGTTTAGCCTGGGCTACAAGTTACACAGATTCCTGGTTTTAGTTAGCTGAAATAAGTAAAAATGAAACTAAATTTGTAGAATTTAGTTCTTCATATTTTAATTAGCAATAAGAGCAACACACATTACAAAACTAATATAGACTAAAATATAACCAATGCAGAAGAGCAAAAGAAATTCACAGATACATCATATCCACAGATTGTAGTAAGTTTCATTCTCCTCACCTCTATTTTTCAAAGTGGGAATCTGTTTTATATTAAGTAACTAAACTACAAGGGCTAAAATGGTAACATAGTTTACTGTCATGCAAGGACTTTAATCCTAATACATCTGGTATCCAGCAAAAGTTTGGAGTACAAATATTGCTGCTTCAGCAGAAAGAAAAATAAGCAAACAAAAAACCTTCAAAAAACATGGAATTGTAGTTGACTTTTTATGATATTTTCTACTTAGCCACAGAAAGCACTGGTAGATGTTACCTTTAGCCTTGGCACAATCAACTAAAACTAGAGCTGGGAAAAGCAGATTTAGTCAGGGCCATTTTATAATAATCTTACTCCAGTCTAGCAACATTTAAATCTAACAACTGCGCAGTCATTTAGTATTTGCATACCCAAGTACTAAATGAGTGTGCAGTAACCAGCATTACTGCACAGTAGCGACCCCACATGGCTTCCTGGTGATGCTGACTGTACAATATCTCATTACTACTGTACAATAGCATCACATCACAGTTTGTGCCCTGCAATGCTACTGCACTGTAGTAACGAGCTCCTGCGCAGTCAGCATCTTGTGTAGACACAGCCAGAGTATACTACTGACTTCAGTGTGAAACCCTTGAAGTAAATATAGTAATCACTAGGATTAAGTTTATCACCATCCAGCCATCAATGAATTTAGACCTTCTTTTCTGTTCTTTATACAGACAGAGTTTATCAGTTTGATTAAAAATTTAGAGAATGGCCCTGGCAAAACATTTTTCAGTCCCTAGGTTGTTCAGAACCTCTCCCATGAATATTATTTTGATCACTTTCTGATTTATGTTATGACTAATAAGCTAATATCTTCTTTATATAAAAAAGTTACCCAGTTTTAAAAAAGTAGATCATGTTAAATGGATGTAAACCTATACTTTAGCTCACACTTTAATTAGTTGAGCTTATTTGGGTACTTTTCCCAAGCAAATTAAAATCATTTAGACAAAAACAAAACTGATATAGGTGTGTCTTCCTTAAGAATTTGAACCCAATTAATAAGACTGATTTTAAATCATTTAAGCTTTTGCATCTTTTCTCATAAATACAAGGTCTAACTTACATGGTATTGAATTCTGCTCTTTAGCTTGCTGATTTTCAAATCCACAGATTGCAATATGGTCATACAAATCTATTTGGTGTAAATAGATAATGACCTTTTAGAAATATTCTTGTGACTGAAGCTTAGCTAGCACAAATGTTGGTAAGAAACTAATAAAGGGCTGTATTCCATTGATGTAGAAATCAATTTAGACAAATATTGGAGAAAATTTTTTTAAATATTCAGCTGGATTTCCCTACTGAGTAAAAAAAATCCATGTTTAGTCTGTTATTCCGAAAGGTAAAGTAGACATGTTCCTGGATGTCTACTAGCGACGTACAAAGCGGGCCCTATTCAATTCGGATTCGGATTTGGCCTGAATCAAGGGCAGCAATTAAATTCATTGATTCAGGTCACTGTCCCTGATTCGATTCAGCCAAATCCAAATCAGAAGATTCAATGCTGATTTGGAGAATCAGCGATTCGGCCATAAACACAGCTTTAAATGTTTTTTCTACATACCTCAAGGCACCAGGACGGCTTGTGAACACTGCAATGCTGGGGCAGATGGAGCGTCCCACAGGAGTGACGGGGGTGGCCCTTCACATGCTTGGTGGCGAACCCAGAAGTGGACTGGAAGTACTTCCAATCCATTTCTGTACCTGCCGGGGAGTGCACAGAGGGGCCTTCCCACACCCCGCCGGCTTGGTGCCCCCCCTCCAGTTGCCGAGCTGGCAGACCTACTCCCTGGCGGACCTGGACATGGACCAGAAGTGCTTCTGGTCCACGTCTGAGTCTGCTGCTGAACATGTTAGGGAGCCCCCTCATGCTCCTTTGGGACACTTCATCTGCCCCAGCATTCACCAAATTGAATCAGCAACTCAAGCTTCACACAGCCCTAATGTCTACATCTCAGATTTGAAAAATCAGAAAAAAGATCTTGGCATGTTCTCTTTGCTGTACGCTATGGTTTTATCAGTAATTGCAAACATATATCTTGTATTGAAATTAGAACAAGCTATTATCTACATTCTGAGTTTTAATTAAAAGAAAGACAAATTCTTTACTGCACTTATAGGTTACAGAAAGCATTCAATTGCCTATTAAGAAAGAGACAGATGGAGGCAGGTAGAACATGTAAAGCTTAATATTACAGCATAGGCTCCTGTCTGAACAATTTCAATTAATCTGATGGTGAAACACCTCTTTACTAAATAAATTTATACTCTAAAAAGAAAACTAGTTATACAGTCATTACCCAGGTAATGTCATAAGACGAGTGGCGGGCCCTGTAGGTAGTACACACCCCATGCAGAAGCCCTGTCAAGTAACACGCATGCCTTAAGTCTCAATGAAGCCTTATTTTGAATATTTTTGAAAGGTCCAGATCTCATTATATGATTAATTTTTATTATCTAAGTTGAAGGTCCATGTTCCCAGACTAAATTCAGAACTGGTGAGGCTTAGACAGAGCTACAAGATCCCCACCAGCAGCAAAAGGTACAGAAATAGCATAAAAGCTGGAAAATCATATAACATAGTACAAATAGGCATTGGACTCTATAGTAAGCTTGGTGTGTGAAGGACTGGAGGAGAGGTCAGTGTATTGTAATTTAAAGGAAAGGAAGCATAGCAAGCCAAAGGGCATGCAGAGATTCAAAGACAAAACTCTAGTTCACAAAAGTGAAGTACCCACTGCCCAAACTCAGTACCTATTTATACATATCACCAGATGTACAATATTTTACAATACTTGCAAATCTACCTCACAGTCTGAACTTTGGAGAGAGACACAAACACTTCCTGCATGATGCATAAGAAATGCTTGTTAAGCTGTTTTCCAATCTGAAAAATTAAAACAAAGTTATTGGTCCTAATTATTAAATAAATTACTGCTGAATGGCAGGTGCTTTCGTGCAGATTTGAGATTGCTACTTTTTAAACAATGCATGCTCCAGCAATGAGAAAATAAACAAAACTTAATTAAATGCATGTAACGTCTTGAAAGACACTTGTTCAGGAGACAGCTGAGGGCAAGATCCTAGTTTGATAACTTCAGTGCCGTATGTAGTGGCAGGAGGCAGTATATATTTCAGAAGCACTACATGAAGGGAATAAACATTAGGACTAGACATTTCAAGACTTCCATTGTCCATAACATCATCATGTGAATATTAACCTTCAATGAGCTATAATGTTTTCAGCTTCATAAAGCACTAGTGAATGCTCAACTACTTAGAGGGTTTGATAAACTACTTCAATGGGAGCTGAGAGAGTTTAACAATAAACAATGAGGCTACATGCACTCATTCATTTGTAGAGCTATAAAACAAGTATGTTGTGAGGGTGTACACACATTCAGAGTCCCCTGTGTCAAAAATCCCTGCAAAGATGCATTCTTCCATGAGGGGGTGCTATGGGACTGCTCCTTTACTCCCCCACCCTCAGAGGAATCAGCCAATGAGCATGACGGGATCAGTGCTGGGCTCTCCTGATCAGTTGTTACCACTGAACCGCTGATGATCAGGCTGCCTGAAAGCAGCAGTGGCAACATGTAATTAAGTAGTTTTGGTTCTACGATAAATTGCAATTCTGTTCCCTGTGGGCTGTCAAGGGAGCCAACCACTCTCCCTCCTTCTTCCTTGGAAGGGGGTAGGAGAGCAGAGCACTCTGGGAGCCTAGGAGTACATACAGACATACAACTGTTCTTATATGCAGTGCTACAAGGATAACGCTACAAAAAAAGCTCCTTTTTGTCACAGGAACTTTTTTGTGGAGAATCTGCCATCTTTGTAGCACTACAAACACTGTGAATGTACGGACACTCCCTTTCTGTAGTGCTAGTAGCATGAATATAGAGCAACAAAATTAACATGGGCACATAACCATGGCCACTTACATGGTGGAGTAGTTTGACAATACATTCATTTAGCATCTTTTATGAAAACAAGGATGCATCCTGATACAACAGACAACCTAGGCCAGCCATACTGCATGAAAGGGAACTTCTGTACCTCCTACATATGAGCTCTGCCAGTACCTGCTCTGTCACCTTAGACAAGTTTGATGTCATGCTTCTGTTTCCTTTCTCATCCTTCATCTATTTTGCTTGTTTACATTGTAAGCTCTTAGTGAGCAAGGACTGTCTCAAACTTGGTTTGTATACTATGGCTAGTGTCCTTTAGGCATTGCTGTAATCCAGAAAATAAATGATACTGAAAGAAGAATGACCTGCTTGTCAGTGCTGTTGCAGAAAGGAAACAGAAAAATACTTTGTAAACACTGAAGACAGCGAAGGAAACTGGGAATTACCTGTGCTCCTTGTGGGAGTGAGATACAGTCTTAATCAATGTGTTTGGCTCTTTTTCTGCAGATCTAGATGTATTGATATATGACAGTCTATAAAGTGCATCGATTTTTAACATTTTCTTGTTTTTATTTTACTTTGTCTTTATTCTCCCGCCCCCCTTTACAACAAAACAGCTGATAAGGTCAACGATGACTTCTATTCCAAACGTCGACACCTTGCAGAATTGGCTGCCAAAGGGAGCTTGCCACTCCATCCAGTGCGTATGGAAGAAGACAGAACGTATGCACCTGACAATGGCACAACGAAACACAATGGGCAGAAATCCAAAATTACAAAAATTCACACACACCCCATGGCATACAACTACAAAACCTGGGACCCCAGTGACCAGTCCTACCGACGGCAAGCATATGCAAACAAGGGGAAGCATGGCCCAGGAGAACCTATGTTAAGTAACACACTGACAACTCGGAGTCAGCAATATTTGCCCCCACAGCCGTACTTCATAACTAACAGCAAGACAGAAGTGACTGTTTGAGATTGCTCTTTCATTCCTTAAAAATATAAAACATCAGAAAGAGGCAAAAAAAATGAAAAGAAAAGACAAGAAGGAAAGCAACTTCCATGGGGACACTCCTGGTATGCAGCCAACTGAAGGTTGAAGAGTGGGTTAATACCATTCAGCAATACCCTGAAGGTTGAATTAGAAATGCCATTTGTATTTCACACTGGAAAAATCAACTCTTGTGACTATTTTTTTTTACTTGAAACTGAAATCCATGATGAGAAGTAGCACAATTTAGAGAAACTTTATGTCTGCTTAAACCATTTACACTATGTTCCTGCCTTGAGACAGAGAGAGAAAGAGAGAGAGAGAACAATACACGGTAATACTTTGTTTTGATGAGGAATTTTGTATAAATTCTAATAATTACCAGACCTGTGAAAGCCAAGAGCAAATACCTTGGTACAAGCCCTAACGTTTATTATTGTACTTTCATACCATCACTATAGGAAGAGCAAAAAATATATATACAATAAAAGATAAAAAGACACTTTCACACGAAACCTATGAAGACTGTTACAATTAAAAGCGTATGAGAACTTTTTGGCTGGTAGAGAGTTTTGTGGGACAATAACACAAGAAGATTTTATTTCTGTTTATTTTTGGTTTGGGTTTAAAGTTTCTCGGGACCTCCAAAATAAGAAGAGACATATCATATAACAACATGAATGTTGTGAGGAAAAGAGGGTAATCAGCCCTTCCCCCTCAGTCCTCCTGTTTTTTGGGCAGATGGTAACAACTCTTACTTTGCAGACTGTCAGGACATTTTCGTCACCTAAATGTTTTGCCTATCTTCTACTGCTTCAAACTGAAAATAAATAAGTGTGGGTGGTGCCTTTACTGTATTACTATTGTTCAATGACAGTCTTGTTTCTCAAAGTGAAAACCCCTGTTCCTTTAAGCTTATTTCCTCTTGTTTTATAAAGATATTAGAAGGTTTCTGCCCTACCTAGCCCTCCCTTTGTTGTGAATGAAATGAGAGTCTGGTCTAGCAATACACAGTTATGGTGGCAGGTTGCCGAGTATGTCAGCACACACAGCTCCCCTATGGCACCAAAATGCCTTCTCTCTCTTTCTACAGAGCAACACTAGCACTTGGAGGGGGAAAAAAAGGCTTCTATCTCCATCCAGCAGTGGGCAC